CAGCGCTAGGCGAGCCCAGGCGGGCCACTGCCCCTCTCTGGGCCCCAGGCTGGGGGAGAGCTTCCCTTCCTTCCCCCACCCCTTGATCGTGACTCCCTGCCCCCTCCGTCTGGTCCTCCTCTACGCCCCCCTCCTTTCTGACATTCCCGCCTCCCTTCCAGTCTATATTAATTGCAGATTTACAGCAGGTGAAACTACTGCTGTGACCCCACCACTACCACCCATTTTACAGGTGTGGCGACTGAGGCTCAGAGAGGGCCCGGAGTCAGCTAGCTTTGGTGTTGAGAGTGCTTGTCATTTAGGGCACATTAAGCTCTTAGTGCAGAGGGACCAGGGCATTGGGGTTGGCGTTGGATGGGTGATAAATGCATGAGTTGGTGGATGGATGCATTTATGGGGCATGGTTAAATGGATGGGTAGCTGTATGGCTGAATACGTGAAGGGGATGGATGGATGGTAAATGGTGGTGAACATTTACCTGAAAGGACAGGTGAGTGGATGGATCCTCGCACAGATCTTGTTTCCCCCAAAGCTGGGCTACCCCTCCCTCCCCAGCCTGCCCCAGCCAGCTCCAGCTCCTGAGTCCTTTCTCCCTGCCCCCCTTCATCCTAGGTCTGACTGGTTTTTCTACGACTGCCGCCTCCTCAGACATGTGGCCCTTGGCCTCTTCTGTTGCGGGGTCTCTGTCTACTTAGCAGGTGCGTGCTGGGGATAGGATGTGGGCTGTGCGGCCTTGGGTTGGGATGGCCAGGGCTAATGGTCCCATAATGAGGGTCCACTCCCGAGCCACCCTGCCTGTGTTTGACTCTTGGCTCTGACACTTTCTCACTCGGGGGCCTTGGGAAAAGCCCCTCTGTGCCTCAGTTTCCTTATCAGTACAATGGGATGATAAATTTGTTGCTCCATTGAATTGCTGAGAGGATTTTGAGTTAACCCCCATAAAAGCCGGAAGATGGCACCTGGCTCCAGTGGAGGAGGGGAGGGTTCATAAATGGTTCTTGTCTTCAGAACACTTCTGATCCATCAGTTTTCTACGTTTGCTTTGAACAAAATTTTCTACGTCCTTGGTGGCTTCGGGAGATAGAGTTTCAGAGGTTGGCATTAGCAAAAAACTGTTTCAGTTACAAATATCAGAATTTCCAGCTCAAGAATGGCTGGGGGGGAGGGGTGATATGATTTATAAACCAGAAATGCAATTTTAAACCCCCAAATATGAAGCAGAGTAAAAATAATTAGCTGGGTGCCAGAGGACACATCACCCTCTCTTCCCTGACTTGTAATAACTTTTCTTAGATCACTGTTCTCTCACCCACACCTGCTGGTAAAGGCATCAAATCATTAAGTTTTTTTTAAAGAGACTCCTGACATCTTATATTTTGTTGCAATCTTGAAAAATGTGTTGATGGTCCATAGACTCCATGCTGAGTCATACACAGATCCCCAGCTACCTGATAAACAACCTGTTTTACTGGAAGAGAAAATATTCAGCTGAATGAAAAACAGGGCTTTGCTATTATTTTTTTCTTAGTCCCACAGTAGAGAAATAGAAGTTTAGGAGATACAATTAAAATATGTATTTATGAGATGTGAGCCTAGGGCTCATTGTGCGAATTTGTATATAAAGTGCAGGGAACTCTGCATAACTTTTGCTGTTTGGCTTAATAAAATGCTCCAGATATGGTTTTTTTAAAAAAGAGAGTGGATGGAGTGACTCTGGGGCTTGCTGGCCTCAGGTGTGACTGCATCCAGGTGCTCAAATGAGGCCATCAGAAATGCTTCGTTTCCCCTCTTCCCCTAAGACGGATGCCTGTACCTGTGCTTTCGACATAATGCCTACAACCTCCAGTCTTTTCATGAGCCAGCAAAAATGTTGGAGACTTAGAGAATAAACTATCCTCATTGTAAAATATGAGAAAACTCACAAAGGGAGACAAAAAGGTAACTATGTCAGTCTCATTAAGCATTAAATTAAGAAGAATTCATTCAACTCCCATCTAGATTCCTTCTGAGGTTAGGTGACAAGGAATTCTTCCTCCTTGGCAAGAATTCCCAGTATGTCCAGCCAATCCTCCATTCATTGCTAACCAGAGTCAAAGAATAATTATATAAAGACCTTTTCAAAAATTAGTTAGGGTGGCACACTCTTTGTCTCTCGAGCACACCTGTGCCTTTCCCCCTGTCCTTCCCCAGGCGTGTTCTCTTTTTCCTAAGTTCCAAGCGCCCTTCTTTTGCCTCTGCAACTTGTTTCCTAAGCCCACATAGCCCGGCTGGCTCACCTTTTCTACCTCTGTAACTTTCTAAACAAACTTTCTTATAATTTGGGGGGGAAAATGTTTAGAGCAAAAAGGTCTTTGGCCTCACTTTAATATGTCAGATGTGATGCAATGTGGCATCTTCAAAAGCAAGAATGCAGAGCCAGAGGCATAAAAACACCCCACAAAGTGCCAAGAGGTCCTCTGTCAGCCCTGGGCTTCTCTTTTACTAGTTCCCCAGGGGTTGCAGTAAGAAAATTCCTGGGTCCTCATATCCCAAGCAGAAGTCTTAGGGCTGACTCTAATTGCCTGAGCTTGGGTCGTATGAAAGCCCTGGACCAATCACTACAACTAGGGAAGCAATGTTCTGATTGGCCAAGCTTAGGCTCAGTAGTACATACATCACTGATGCCACAGGGGTGGGTCAGAGCTCCTAGACCAGCCACCAGGGTGGGGATAGGGACTGGACTGGCAGTTCTCAATGGGGGCTGATTCTGTACCCCAGAGGATATTTGGCAATACCTGGAGACATTTAGGGTCCTATTGGTATCTAGTGGGTAGACTCTGGTAAATGTTCTACAGTGCATAGGATAGTCCCCACAGTAGAGAATGGTGCCAACTGAATGCTGGGCAGGGTGACAGAGAACCAGTATAGGTCCTCAAGGTCAGGTCACCAACTGCCTTGTTCAGATCAGCAAACTGAGGCCAGAGAGGAGCATGATTCACTCAAGGCCAATCACAGGGATTCAGAAAACCTGAGATCTGGGTTGTTTTAATTGTGGTAAAGTACACATAACAAAACTTACCCTTTTACGGTAAAATTGGCATCGTGATGATATATTTGTGGGTTGTGACAGGATTAGATGAGTTAATCCATGTGCCTACCATGTTGGACAGTTTTGAATGACTGCCCCCTCCTTGGGAAGCTCTCCTGGGGCTTGGGGAGCAAATGTTTGTTGACTGAATAAATGAGAAATATTTCCTTCCTCAGCACTGTCCATCTATGCCCTGCTGCTCTTTGAGATTGAGACGGGAGCAGCAGCCGCCTCCATCCTCGGCTTGGGTGCCCTGGCCCTGGTGGCCGTACTGACCCACACTCTGCTCCGGGCTGCCCGAGCCACCCGCCGTGGCCTCCATGAGCTGTCCCCACCGCACTTTGAAGACGACCCTGTCCGCTCCACTGAAGTCTCCAAGGCCAGCCCCGGGGCTCAGCCCCAGCAGGGTACCCACCACCAAACTCCCTACTCATTCTGCCTAGACCCTGGGGACCCCCTCAGACCCTCAGTCACTGCCTCGCTGCCTGCAGCTGTGAGGGGCAGCCAGGAGAGCAGCCTGCCTGCATCCCGCATGCACCGGACGTTGTTGGCTGGTGGTGGGCACTGGGAAGGAGTCACCCATGAGATGCGCAGCATGCTGGGCCACAAGCCAGGGGGTTCGGGGAAAGACTCCACACTGGTGTGAGCTCAGGTATCAGGGACAGAGTTGGTGTCAGGTAAAGAGCACTCTGTAGAGATATGCCCAGGATCAGTCACAGTAGCAATACAATTTGATTTCTCTTTCAGTTCACAGCATCCCTGGCTTTTGTCCTCAAGATTGCCTCATGGCACAAAGTGGCTGCCAGGGCCTTCACGTCCTCATTCAGAGAAAAGCAGAGGCCAGGGCTGGCTCAGCATCTTTTCAAAGTCTTCCTGAGAGGCCTTGGGGCCTTTCTGCTTATACTTCACTGACCAGAACAGTCACATGGCCACAATTTGCTACAGGGGAGACTGGGAAATGTAGCTGAGAAGACAAATGAGGTTCTATGATAGGCAGGAGGGGAGAGTGGGGCTTAGGCAGTGGTTCTCTAAATGTCTCCGTCCATTTTACAGATGAGGAAACCGAGGCCCACAGAGGGGCAGTGGCTCACCAAGGGTCCCCCGGCCAGTACTGAGCATCAGAGCCAGGTCCTGTAACCCCCATGCTGCTGACAGTGCAAGTCTCTGCGACTCCTTCCGGTCTGTGAGCGTTTGAAACCTTTGTGTGCAGAGCTCAGAGCAGCCCAGGGCCACAGCAGCCCTGAAGGGCTACACCCAGACTCCTGGCTGTGGGTCTGTGGCTGAGGGCTTCACCACTCCATGTCTCAATTTCCTTGTCTATAAAATGGGGACAGAATTGGTCCCTCTGCCTAGGGCTCCCATGAAACTCTGTAAGCCATTCCAGGGGCCTGTGCATAGTAGGTTGTCAATGTGTGTCAGCCTGTGCTGCTGTCAGTCGGGGCACCTGGTAGCTGGAAAAGATGGGCTGATGGCCAGTTTCTGGGGCTCACAAAACTGACAAGGCTTGGAGTGGATAACTCAGAGCCCTAGGAGTCTCCAGCGGCCCTTGCCTCACTCCCATCCTGCAGGACCTGCAAATAAACTAGCCCTCACTTTCTCCATGTCACTTGAGCCACATCTGAATGTGCTTTGTGGCCAAGCCCAGGCTTGGGGTAAGGGGTGGGGTGACAGGAGTGAGGGCGGGAAGGGCAGGAGTGGGAAACAGGGGGATTGCCTTGGGAACCATCTCCCACAAATCCTCATGCATGTAAATTTTATTGGGGGTAGGGACAGGCTGACCCCCCCTACTCCTACCCCAAATGTACAGATGTCCCCAGAAGTTTTCCAGCCTGCCCCTTTCTGAGCTACATGGGGACTCCAGGGCCACCGAGCAGTGGAGGCTCAGCCACAGCAAAGGAAACTTCCCTGGGACTCTTCCCAATGGGCAGAGAAGTGACAGCGCACAGTAGGAGGACTGGTCCCCAAGCCTGACCCTGGGTAGGGCCCCAGCTGATCAAAGCTTTGGCCATCTCTTCCCTGGGTCCCTGGGAAGCTGCACAGACTTCCTCCTCACCAGTGGAGTGGGGTCAACACATAATGTACATGAGCATCCTCCGTGGCCTGACACGGGTGTCCAGTGAGCATGGGCTCTTGGCAGGCATGATGAGTAGCAACAAGGAGGGTAAAACAAGAATAAATGTTACGTTTTTATCACGCCTGGTACTGCAGGTGCTCGGGCCAGGTGCTTTCCTGTCCTCAGTTAATCTTCAGGACAACCCGCCTCACAAATGGGGAAGCTGAGGTCCGAGGAGTGAAGCTACACAGCAGCAATGGCTGGAACCCCATCACAGGGATCCAGGACAGAGCAGGTACCTGAGGATACTGAAGACTCCAGTTTCTGAGAACTTGGGGCAGCCTTGGGGACTGAGGGTAGAAGAGAGAGGAGAAAGAGAAGGAACGACCCTGGCTGGCGGCCAGCGCAGAGGGCCTCATCTTCTGGATTGGTCAGGGGAACTAGAAGCTGGACGCCTTGGCCTCATCCCCAGGGCCAGGACTAGGGTGGGAGTACAAAACATAAAGAGGCCTAAAAGGATTGAAAACGGGTGTTCACACAAATCCTTGTACAAGCATGTTCACGGTAACACTAGAGACAATCACCGAAAGTGTTCATAAACGAATGGATGAACAAAATGTGGTCCATCTACCTAATGGAATATTACTCAGCCATAAAAAGGAATGAAGCACTGACACGCACTACAATGTGGGTGAACCTTGGAAACATCACACTGAGTGACAGGAGCCAGGCACAAAAGGTCACATATTGTATGATTCCATCTATATGAAAATGTCCAGAGTAGGCACATCCACAGAGATAGAAAGCAGACTGGTGGTTGCCAGGGGCAGGGAGAAGAGAATGAGGGAGTGATTGCTAGTGGAGTGTCCTGTTGGGGTGATGAAATGTTCTGGGAGGACAGAGGTTAAGTTACTACTCAGGGTCACCAGCACTGGAGCTGGGACTGTGTCTCTCCAGAAATGTCCCTCGTCCCTCTCGGTACCTAGGTTCCTGCAATGCCTAGCTCGCAGCGCCCAGGAGCGAGCAAAAGGTGGAAAAGGTAAGGCTTCACTCCCCCTGTAGCCCAAGCTGATGTCAGCTCAGCCTGGGGCTGTTTGGATTGATATGGCCCTGAACCCTCCCAGATGCTATGAGGGTCCAGGCCTAGCAGGGCTCAGAGGGTTGGGATTTTGCAGGGTCATATGGCAGCTTGGGTCCAGTTAGACCAGAGGCCAGCACAGGTCATACAAGGACCTGGATCACACACAGTTACCCTGGAAAATGATCCAGAGCTGGTTTCGGGGTGGCCGAGAAGGCAACCAGGGAAAACAAACAGCCTTTGCTTTCCAGCCAGATTGAATTCCCAGGCTGGCGCCAGAGCAGCCTGGACAGGACCTGGCAGGGGCTGGCAGAGTCCAGAGGGAGAGATGGGGGAGATATCTTAGCACCGGAGGCCTACTTTTCTCAAGGCAGCTAAGTGTGTGGGGGAGGGGGTACCTTTTGCATGGTCTCCCCCCACCCCCTCCAAGACAGCTGTCTCCCCTATTAGACCCTCAGAGCAGGGTTTTGCCTCCTTCCTCTGACCTCAGAGCAGAAGCTTGCCTCCCCCATCAGACCCTGAGTGTAGAACTTTGTCTCTCCTCAGACCAGGCAAGGGAACCCTCGTGCAGGGCAGTCCCCCTGCCCCCTCAGACTCCTGGGGCAGAGTTGTTAGACACAAGGGCCCAGTTGGGTGGTCCTTTCAGGCCCCGTGGGACCCATTCTGGCCAATGAGCTGTGAGCAGAACTTGAACAAGGTACTTCTCAGCCAGGGCAGTTAACTGATAGCGCAAGACTTTTCTGAGTCCATCCCGCTGTCAGGGCGAGATGGTGGCCGCCCCCTTCAGGTGGATTTCCACACAACTACGACCAGCAGAGTCTGCTGCTTCACCACTGCGGGCACATGGTATGCATGGGAAATAAGCCTTAGCCTTTCTGAGCCAGAGATCTGGGGGCATTCCTGATGGCAGCAGAACCTGGGCCACCTTGATGCTACAGGGATGTGGGGGAGAGCAGAAAAGAGAGAAGCACACATGTGACAGAAAGACAGCCTGGGGCAGTTAATTTCACAAATACAGTCAACTCTCATTATTTGCAGATTCCATGTTTGCAAATTCTCTTACCAGCTAAAATTTATTTGTAACCTTGCAAATCAAAATACCCCTGGTGCTTTCCTGGTCATTGGAGGACATGCACAGAGCAGGGAGAAAGTTGAGTCTGGGAGGCACATGTTCCCAGCTGAGGTGGAACAAGGTGACACTGCCTTCTTGTTCCAGCTCGCAGATTGTAAACGAGTCTTTTTTTCAGTCTATTTTTCACATTTTTGTGCTTTTCCTTGGCATTTCACTGTTTAAAAAGGCCCCCATGCCTGGCCAACGTGGCTCAGCGGTTGAGCATCGACCTATGATCCAGGAGATTGAGGTTCGATCCCCAGTCGGGGGCGTGANCCAGGAGATTGAGGTTCGATCCCCAGTCAGGGGCGTGAGGGAGGCAGCCGATCAATGACTCTCTCATCATTGATGCTTCTATCTCTCTCCCTCTCCCTTCCTTTCTCTGAAATCAATAAAAACATTTTTAAAAAAACAAAAAAAGGCCCCCAAGTGTGGTGCTGAAGTGCTGTCTGGTGTCCCTAAGCTCCTAAAGGCTGCCACGTGCCTTCAGAGAAAGTGTTAGATGAGCTTCGTTCAGGAGTTGAGTTACACTGCTGTTGGCAGTGAGTTCAATGTTAACAAATCAGTATATATATATATATAATAAACAAGGTGTCTTGAAACACACAAAACAAGGTATCAATCACATGACAAAAATGTGACCAGAGTTACTTGTGGAAACCCACTGTTTTCCCAAGGAACCCAGTATTCACTAACTCAATTTTTGCCACAACCTTATAAAACAGAGCTACTGGGGATAACAAGGATCGACCATTTGCGTCCACAGCACAGCAGAGGAAAAGGGACGCACGAAACAGCTTTCTGGTTGAGAGCAGGCTCTGGGTTCGAATCCCAGCTGTGACCTTAGCAGTACCCTGCTTCAGTTTCCCTGTCTGTAAAGCGGTGACAAAACAGGAGCTTCCCACCAGGCTGTAGACAGGATTAAATAAGATGCCTTGCCTAAGGTGTTGCAGAAGTGGTCCCCATGATAAATGATAGCTGTTACTATTATTACTGCGATACACAAGGATAGAGGAGCAGGACTGGGTCTTCTTTGTGATCTAGAATCCTGGCACAGGCCCTCACTGAGCCTCAGTTTCCCATTCTGTGGAATGGGAGTAGCAACAGGGCCACCTCCCCTCCAAGATTTCACCCACTTGCTGGGTGCATGGCTGCCCTGGCTTGCACAAGGTGAAGACCACGAGCCACACTCAGGGCCAGCATCAGGACTCCAGACAACAGACAGCATAGTGTTTATTGCCCAGAGGACAGCTGTGTGGCCTTTGGGCACCAGAAAGTTTTGACACAAATGACTCGAAGGCACCAGTTCCCATCTAGCCCCCACCCCTGCCTTACAGGGCCTGGGGGCAGGAAACCCCATCACCAAGCAGCCAGGTCCATCCCCTTTGGGGTGGCAGCTCCCCATGTGCCTGAGGGTCCAGAATGCCCTGTGCTGCTAAGGTCCCCAACATGGGCTAGGGTGGGGCAGGGACCTCTTCCCTGGAAGGGGCAAGGGGCTATGACACGCTGGGGGGCAGGCGCGCAGCTGCTGTTTTCTCCACCACGAAGCCGTAGTTGTACTGGGGAGGGGGAGAGCACAGAGTGAGGGAGGGGCTGTGAGGGGTGCTGTGAGGAACATGGAGTGGGGGGCCACTTAGGGACTAAGTGATCTCCAGCCCTGGAGAGGTTGGGTACAGCTGGGGGAGACTGCGGTGGCCTGGTATGGGGGAGGGTCCCAGCACCTACCTCCTCCTCAATGTCCGCCAGCGACTTGATGGTCAGATCAGCAAAGGCAGAGAAGGCCTGGTGGACAGAGGCAGGTCAGTCTTGGGCCCAGGCCACCACCTGGTCCCCTATTCCCTCATCTTCAAGAAGGGCCCTCCTCAATATCTACCTGAACATCCCTTCCCTCTTCCTGCCACAGCCTCTAGCCACCAGCATTGAGCTGCCCCTCTTGCAGCCCGCATTCCAGACAGAGGCCCTTCAGTCCCCACCGCTTGGTCTCCAGCCGCCACCAACCCAGGAATGTAGGCCTCAGTGCTGGGGGGCTGGGATAATGGTCCCTGCGTTCCCATGCTAGAAAGGTGATGGGCAGGGGCAGACCAGTTCCCCCAGGGCACAGACTCACCAGAGGGCCACAGCTCTTGCCCTCAAACCGGGGGTGCAGCGTGAAGGGAACCCCATCCATGGCTGAGGAAAGCACAGGGTGGGGGTAAGGAGCTGAGGAGCAGGGGGCTTGGGGCCTGCTGCTGCCCACCCCACTCCAGAGGCCCACCCGGCATGCTCCCTTCCTCCTGCCCAGTCTTTTTTTTTTTTTTT